CGTTGTTGGGGGACTGGCGCACCCGTCGGCGCTCCCCGTCGCCGTCCCATCGTCGGGAACGCTCCCCGTCACCCTCCCGTCCGGCCCGGGTCGGCTCGCCTCGCCCGCGGGACGGTATCCTCCCCACCCCGGACACTCGCCGCTACGTCCTCCGCACGCGGCCTCCACTGGGGCTACAGCCCCGGCTCCGGCTCATGGTGGTGGCACCTCCTGCGGCCGTCCTGGGCCTGCCAAGAAGAAGAAGCACCGGGGTGTCCGGCTCACTCCGGCCATGCCACCCCCCGCGGGTCCGGGAGCCTCCTCCGCTCCGGGCCCCGTCTCCGATCTCCCTCGCCCCCCATGCTTCAACTGTGGGGTGAGGGGGCATTCTCAGGTTGCTTGCGTCAACCCCCAGTGCTGCTACCTCTGCAAGGATCCCGGCCACCCCGCCATTCTGTGCCCGGATAGACCGGTGGTTTCGGAGCTCATGATGTATGGGCATGGGATCGAGGGGTTGGGTTTCTTCCACCTCGAGGTCCTGGACGCCCCTCCTCCGTCGCCCTCCGTTCAGGCGATTGTCACGGTCGTTGATGGGGTGGCGTCCCCAGAGATGATCGAGGCTGAGCTCAACCACCTCTACCGCCACCAGTGGGACTGGGTGGTAACCCCCACAGCCGGTCACATCTTCTCCGTCGTCTTCCCCGACTCCGTCAGCTTCGGCTACGCGACGCGTAGTGGCCGGATCACTCTCGCGCTCAACCAGCTGGTTGTCGAGATATCCGAGCCAGTACTCGATGCTCAGGCCGTGGCTGTCCTCGACACCGCCTGGATCCTCATCTCCGGTCTCCCCGATATTGCGCGGTCCGAGCTCGTCATCCGCCAGATGTCTCGCCTCTTGGGCAAGGTGGTGGTGGTCGACGAGCTCTCATTGCGCAAGGAGGAGGAGGTGCGGGTCAAGGTCAAGTGCCTTGACTCCTCCAAGCTGCGCACTTCGGTCCGGGTCTTCTTCAACGACCAGGGCTTCGACCTCAGGATCGCCCCCGAGCCTCCCAACCACGTTGGGCGTCCCCGCTTCCTCGACGTCGGCCCCCCTGGTGACAACCCGAGGGCCGGCGGAGACTACCACGGCCACCGCCGCTCTCGTTCTCACCGCTCGGATGAGGAGGGGGCGTCCGAGGACTCCCGTTCCCCATCCCCCTCGCCCCCCCTCCGTCTGCGGGGGGCAAGGGCCGCCGGGCCGCCTCTCGCCCCCCGGTGGATGGCCCGCCGATCTCTGACGTGTCGCCATCCGAGGGGAGCGACATCTCCAGTGTGGGCCTGGTGGTCTGCCCGGCCTCCTCCCCGCGCTCCCCCACCTTGTCCCCGCCACCTGTGCTGGCCCCGGTCGGCCTGCTCGGCGGCCTGCTCTCCGACTCTTCGGCGGCGCCCGCGGATGGGGGGCGCCTCCTGTGGTTGCCCCCCCACTCCGGCTTCGCCTTCCCCCGTCGCTGTCTCCTCCCCGCAGCCTGACGCTCCTCCGGCTCCGTCGTCTCCACGGGCTCCCTCGGAGGCCTGCTCTTCGGCCCCCAGTGCGCCTCCTCCCCCTCTGGCCGCACCATCACCCCCGGCCCAGATCTTCCTCGGCTGTGCTGGGTCGGGACTGCTGCCCTCCCCTCCGTCGTCTCCTAGGGCGGGGGCGACCCGGATCATCACGCCTCTAGCGGCCCAGCCCCCCCTCCCCGGTCTGCCGCCTACTCCCGTCGCAGTCGGTCGGCCTCCTCCCCGGTGGTGGCCTCCCGCCGGAGTGCTCGGCTGGACGCTGCCCACCCTGAGGGCAGCCCGGCGCTGCCCATCCCCGAGCGGGCGGAGCTCCGCGCTGCCGCCCGTAACCTGGAGCCAGGTACGCCCTCCATTCCCCCCTCTGCTTCGTCTTGTTCTTTCTCTGCGCTTGAGTCTGTTTCGCTGGGTCATCCCGCCAAAGTGGCCTCCGACTCCGCGATCATTTTCCGAGGGGAAGTTGGCCCCCCTCTCGCCCAGATCGCGGCCATCAAAGCCCATGAGGTTCTCGATGGGAAACCTCGTTCCCCCAGCCGCCTCTACGTCTGGGGGATCTTCCTCTCCGCCTCGGCCGCAGCCGACAGGCCCTCCTCCCTCGGTGGCCGTGCCGGAGATTCGGGGACGCACCCGCTCCCGCACGGCGGCCCTTCGTGCGCTTAGCGCTTCCTGTGTTCTGGGGTCAAGTAGCCCCCCAATGGCTCCTTAATGCGGGCCCTCTTCTGGAACATCCGCGACTTCGGCCATGATGGCCGCCGCCACCAGTTAGTGGAATACATGCGAGATGAGCACATCGACATCGTGGCTGTGCAAGAGACCATGCGTCGCGATTTTGCACTCCCTGAGCTTGACCGGCTGAGCTCTCACCTCTTTGCGTGGCACTGGCTCCCTTCTAGTGGGAGCGCGGGCCACTCGGGTGGCATCCTTTTAGGTGTGAAGGATGCCACCTTTGAGGTGGGCAGCATGGATAGGGGCGAATTCTTCGTCAGCATGGAGCTTTTCGAGAGGTCGCTCAACTTCAAGTGGGAGATCATCATTGTCTATGGACCGGCCGATCATAGTAGGTCGGCCTCCTTCTTGGAGGAGCTCCACCGGAAAATCTCGGCCGCCTCCCTCCCCATGGTTGTCGGGGGCGACTTCAACCTGCTGCGC